GCACCCACCTGGGCCTACGGGGGCCTTGCGCCCGCTCCTCGGGCAGCCGGTGGCCCTCCCTGCCCCCGTGTCAGGGAGGGCTTGGGGCTCAGGTGAGGTCGGCGCCGGCAGTTTTCTGCAGTGTCGGGTGTGTTTGCAGCCTGGCGGGACCCTGAGCTCATGAGGGACGTGGAGGCAGCCACTGGGGTGCATCTTGGCTCATCCAGGCCCGGTGGGAAGGGCAGGCGGCGGCAGTCCGGCCTCACCGACCTCAAGCGGCAGGCGGACACAGCGCGTGCACGCATCGCCAAGAAGGTCTTCGCCAAGTAAGAGCTTCTCGCGGGGTCCCGCCCTCTGCCCCAGGCCCGGTGTCGCTGGTGGCGGGAGTGGAGAAGGCCATCAGCCCGCGCCCGCCGCCCCCGCCCGCCGCCCACCCCCCGCCACCCGCCGCCCACGCCCCACCCCACTGCTCTGGCGGCCAGAGGCGCTCCTTGCGGCACTGCTAGGTGCCCTAGAAGGCACGAGGGTGTCTGCGCCCAGGCCCCATGGGTGCCGTCCACCCCGGGGCAGAGGAGGCGGTGCCAGGGCCCTGCCCAAGTCGGGTGAGCAGGAGGGCAGCTTCCTGAGCACCCCGCGGAATCCCCACGGCTCCTCGCCGCCGGCCTGCCTTTGCATCTGCATTCAGGGGAGGGCTCGGCCCCTGGGCTCCAGGCACAAGGCTGGCTCCCCATGGCTCAGCCAGGGGTGATGGTGCCGTGGGTGCTGGCGCCCGGAGGAGCGGGGCCCGGGGGCGTCCTCCAAGGGGCCGGGAGCTGTGGCCGGAGCCTCTGTGATCTGTGAGGGAGGTCGTGCCAGACCCCTGGAGTGGTGCCCGTGTCTGGGCCTCCTCGCTGCCAGGCCCCAGCGGCTTCCTCCCAGGCAGAGGCGCTGCCTCGTCATGGCACCCAGGCTGGCCGTGAGACGTGTGTGCCTCGCCGGACGTCGAGCTCTGTGCACAGTGGGGCGAAAGCAAGCTGGGCTGAGTGGATCCAGCGTGTCTTGACCGCCTCTGCCCACACGCTGCTTCCTGCCCGGTTGCTGGGCAGGCTGTGCCCTCGTTCTGGGGTGCACCCTGGTGCTGGCAGAATTGGGGATCCTGGGAGCTGCCTTCAGGGCTCAAGGAGCGACGGGAGAAGTGCCAGGACGCGGCCAAGGCCACGTTCGGGGGCAGAGCCACTCACTGTGGTGTCCGGCTCTGGATGGGGAAGCTCTGGCTATTTCCGAGCTGTGTCGCCCGTCCGTAAGGAGCGGACGGGCAGCCGGCCCAGGACCCATGCCTGAGCCCAGCCAGGCTGCAGTGAGCAGCCCGGAGCCCTGGCCGGTGCCTCCCTGATCACATCTCGCTGTGCTTTCCCTGCAGGGCCGCTGTGCAGAGGGTGGTCACAGCCATGAACCAGATGGACCAGAAGAAGCATGAGAAGTTTGCAAACCAGTTTAACTACGCGCTGAATTAGAGCGCCAGGCCGGGTCCACTCTGTTCGTCAGCTCGTCGTCTTCTGCTGATGAGCTAGGATGGGAAGGAAGACCCGGGTCTGGGCTATAACAACAGCCGCAATTATAGTGTGTATTTAATGTGAAGAAAAGGTGCACTTTCTGCTTAAAGTGCCCCAGAGGTGTGGACTCTCCCCTGCTGTGGGGGACCACGGCCATCGCTTATGGGTCTGACTGCCTAGTAGCCCGGGGTGAACTCGGGTAACCGTGTCCACAGGTGGGTGTCTTGCACAGCCTGTGCCCTTTGTGGTGTGTGTGATTCAGGGTCGCTCAACGTCCAAGATGAGTGCGCAGCCTCCAGCCCTGCCCCCCAGCCTTCTCCGCCTCGGAGGAAAACCCACATTTCACGTTGACACAAAGGGGAGCCAGCTGTTTGCTCTTGGCGTTTCCAGCTCATAGGCATGCTGGTGGTGGTTCCACGTCAGAATGCAGGGAACTGCCTCACTCTTTGTTCTTCTAAAATCAACCTTATTGAGACGTAACTCACGTACTGTAACGTTCATGCCTTTAAAGCATACGGTTCGGTGACGTTAAATACACTCACAGTGTTGTACAGTCTCCACCACTGTCTACTTCCAGAACTTTTCATCACCCTAAAAGAAACCCGGCTCCCCCAGCCCCGGCCGCCTCTGGTCTCCTGTTTCTGGATTTGCCTTTGCTGGACATTTCCTGTGAATGGAGTCATAGCAGCCTGTGGCCCTTTGTGTCTGGCTGCCTTCGCTTAGCACAGAGTTTTCTAGGTTCTTGCCTGCTGGGGCCTCTGTCCATGCTTCATTCCTTTTTATGACTGGATAACTCACCACTGTATGAACATACTGCACTTTGTTTATGCGTTCATTGCGGACATTCGGGTTGTCTGCTTTTCGGGGTTATTGTGGATGATGTTGCTATGACCATTTGTGTACAAGTTTTTATGTGGGCGTATATTTTCATTCCTTTTGGGTTTATACCTAGAAGTGGAATGGCTGGGTCACGTGGTAACTCTGTGTTTAACTTATTGGTTGAATTGCCAAAACATTTTCCAAAGCAGCTGCGTCGTTTTCTGTCCTCACCAGCAGTGTATTAGGGTTCTCGTTTCTCCATGTTCTTGTCAACATTTGCTTTTATCAGTCTTTTTAATTTTAGCCATTTTGGTGTGGAGTGGTGTATCATTGTGGTTTTGATTTGACTAAGGATATTGAACATCTTTTCACGTACTTATTGGCCATTTGTATATTTTCTTTGGTGAAACATCTAGATCCTTTGCGCATTTTAAATTGAATTGTTGTTTTGAGTTGTAAGAGTAATTTATATATTCTGGATACTAGATCCTTATATGATTTGCAAATACTTTCTCCCGTTCTGTGTTTTCACTTTCTTGATCGTATTCCTTGAAACACAAAAGTTATGAATTTTGCTGATACCCAATGTGTCTGTTTTTCCTTTGGTCACTTGTGATTTTGGTGTCATATCCAAGCAGCTACTGCTTACTCTAAGGTCATGAATATATATGCTTACGTTTTCTTCTAAGAGTTTTAAGATGTAGCTGTTCATTTTAGGTCTTTGGTCCATTTTGAGTTTTTTTTTTAAATTTTATTTATTTACCTTTTATTTATTTATTTTTGGCTGTGTTGGATCTTTGTTGCTGCACATGGGCTTTCTCTAGTCGGGGCGAGCGGGGGCTGTTCTTCATCGCAGTGCGCGGGCTTCTCATTGTGGTGGCTTCTCTTGTTGCGGAGCACAGGCTCTAGGCGTGCGGGCTTCAGCAGTCGTGGCACGCAGGCTCAGCACTTGTGGCTCGCGGGCTCTAGAGCGCAGGCTCAGTAGTTGTGGCGCACGGGCTTAGTTGCTCCGCGGCACGTGGGATCTTCCCGGACCAGGGCTCGAACCTGTGTCCCCTGCATTGGCAGGCGGATTCTTACCCACTGCACCACCAGGGGAGCCCCATTTTGAGTTAATTTTTGTCTGTGCTTCATTCATGTGGCTATTCAGTTGTCTCAGCATCATTTGTCAAAAAGATGATTCTTTCTTCCATTGAATTGTGTGCGCTTTTCTTGATCATCAATTGACAATAAATGTGTGAATTTATTTCTGGACTCTCACTTCTATTCCCTTGACCTATATATCCTATGCTACTGCTACAGTGTCTTGATTAATGTAGCTTTGTGGTAAGTTTCGAAATCCTCCAACTTTGTTTTTTTTAAACATTGTTTTGGCCATTCTGGGTCTTTTGCACTTCCAAACAGATTTTTGAGCCACCTCATGTGTCTGTCGCTGTTGCTAAAAATAAAGAGTAATGGAATCTCAAAAATAAATGAATGATTGAATGAATGAATGAATCTGTGCCACCAAAAAAAAAAAAGGGGGCATCTGAGATTTTAGGGATTGTGTCGACCCTAGAGATCACTTTGGAAAGTATAGCTGACCTTTGAAAACCACGGGTTTAAACTACACAGGTCCACTTACACAAGGACTTTTTCAGCAGTGAATGCCGCAGGGCCGCGTGAGCCGTGGCTGGTTGACTCCTTGGAGGAGAGCCGCAGACGCAGGGGCTGACGGTGCGGCTACACGTGGACGTTTGACTGCGTGGACGTAGGCTCGGTAGGCTCCCCTAAACCCTGAGATGTTCAAGGGCCACGTGTAATGTCATTTTAATCTTAAATTTTCTAATTAGTGAACTTAGAATATCTTTTCGTTTATTTAGGTTTTCTTTATATTTTCTCCGTGTTTTGTGGTTTTCAGTGTACAAGTTGTGCATTTATTTTGTTAAATTTATTCTTAAATGTTTTATTCTGTTTGATGTCATTGTAAATGCAGCTGTTCTCTGAATTTCACTTTTGGATTGTTCATTGCTAATGCATAGAAATACAACGACTTTTTTTATGTTGGTCTTATATCCTGAAACCTTGCTGAACTCACTTATTAGTTCTAATAGTTGTATGTGTGTAGATTTCTTAGGATTTTCTACACACACTGTCATGTCATCTGCAAGAGAAAGTTGTATTTCTTTCTTTGCAATTTGGATTTCTTTTATTTCTTTGTCTTGCCTGGGTGCTCTGGCTAGAGCCTCCGTACAGTGCCAGATGGAACTGGAGAGAGCAGACACCCTCCTCCTGTCCCTGATCCGAGAGAAGCTTTCAGGCTTTTACCGTTGAATGTAGCGGTGGCTGGTGTTTTGTAGATGGTCTTGTATCAGGTTTAGGAAGTCTCCTTATGTTCTCAGTTTGTTGAGTGTTTTTGTCGTGAAGGGAGTGGAATTTTTGTCACATGCACTTCCTGCCTCTATTGAAATGATCGTGTGGTTTTGGTCCTTTATTCTTTTAGTATATGGTGTGTTACATCAAGTGTTTTCCATGTGTTGAACCACACTTGCACTCATGGGATAAATCCCACATGGTCAGTTTCGGTAGTCTGTATATTTCTAGGAATTTGTCCGTTTCATCTAGGTTATTTGTTATCGTTTGTTGACACAGTTGTTCATAGCATTACTTTATAGTCACTTTTATTTCTGTAGGTTGGTAGGAACGTCCCTTCTGTCATTCCTGAGCTTAGACATCTGAGTCTTCTCTCATTCATTTCCTTGGTGCGTCTAGCTAGAGGGTTATCATGTTTACTGATCTATTCAAAGTTGTTTGTTGTTTTTCATTTTTTACTTAATTTCCACTCTAACTTTTATTATTGCCATTGGGTTGCTTTGCGTTTAGTATTTTTCATTCTTTTTCGAGTTTCTTAAGTGGAAGTTTAGCTTACTGATTTGAGACCTGTCCTGTTTGTAACGTAGGTGTTTACAGGTATAAATTTTCATCTAAGCAGTGCTTTAGCTTCATCCCATACGTTTTGGTATGTTGTGTATCCATCTTTATCTCAAAAGTATTTTCTAACTTCTCTTGTGATTTCTTATTTTACCCATTGTTTATTTAGGAGTTTGTCGTTTAATTTCCACATCCTTGTGAATTTCCCAAATTTCCTTCTGTTATTTGATTTCTCATGTCATCCTGTGTAGCCAAAGAACATGTTTTGTGTGATTTCAGTTCTTTAAAATTTGAGACTTATGATCTATTCTGGAGAGTGTTTTATGTGCAGCTGAGAAGATAAGATGAGCATTCTGCTGTTGATGGGTGTTCTGTAGAGCCTGTCGGGTCTGTAGCTGGTTTATAGTGTTGTTCGAGTCTGCTTTTCCTTATTGATCTTTACCCCAGCAGGTAAATCCATTATTGAAAGTGGGGTATTGAAATCTCCAACTGTTATTGTTAAATTATCTATTTCTCCCTTCTCTGGCAGTTTTTGCTTTGTGTATTTTAGGCCTCTGTTAAGTGCATGTATGTTTATACTTCTTATTTCTTCCCGATGGGTTGACCCTTTACAGCACAGCCTTCTCTGTCTCTAGTACCAAACAGTTTTTGCCTTAAGGTCTCTTTTGTACGATGTTAGCGTAGCTTCTGGTTGTTTGCATGGTATATCCTTTTCCAGCCTCTCACTTTCATTATCTCTCTGAATCTAAAGTCTTATGGACAGCATATATATATTTGATCATGTTTTTATATCTGTTCTACCAAGTCTCTGCTGCTTGAGTGGAGTGTTTAATCTGTTTACCTTTAATGTAATTGCTGATAAGGTAAGATTTATGTCTGCCATTTTTCTGTTTTTCTACATGTCTTTTGAAATCTTTCTTCCTCTGTCACCTTTTTTTCTTGTGTGTTAAATGGCTGTTTAATTCCCTTGTAATACTTTAATTCCCTTGTGTCTCTACCACTATTTTTTAAGTAATTTTTTTCAGTGGTTGCTTTGAGGATTACGATGAACAACTTAATACAATCTAGTTTGGATTAATAACAACTTAATTTCAGTAATGTACAAAAACTGCTCCATTAGAGCTCTGTTTCCTTCCAGCTCTTTTTTGCTGTTTTTGTCATACAAATTGCATCTTAATAGATTGTAAGCCCATCGACATAGTTTTGTAATTATTGCTTTATGTAGTTGTCTT